TTTGTTTTAGGGAAGGCCCTTAGTTAATATGTTTGCCAGCTAACATATACAAGAACATTCCCAAGTTGGTATCAAAGCACTTGGAATAATAAGGTGTTGCTCATTGATCCTATTAATCATTATTCTTGAACCATAAAAATTAAATATGTTGTGGAACCAAAAATATATAATTAGGAAATAAGAAAACGACACAAAATAATAAAAGAAAATCAAGTAATAAAGCCGGCATTGTGTTTGGTTCATATTGCCCATTAACTTTAACAAACTTGTTGTGTTCGTCTAGGTATTTTTTTGGAACAAACATATTTCCTGATGTTTTGCTCAATGATATTGCGGGCCCGGAAGGAGATCGTTTGCTTTTGAGTTTTAAAACTCTCTGTAGATGTTTTGGTGAGTAATTCTAAACATTGCATCCTCTGACTTGTAATTTTGCTTCAGGTTTGTGATTAAAACTATTTGTACCTTCTTCTTTCCCTATTTCTTGAGCATGGAGCACTCCTATTTTGTTGTTTGTAATTTAGTTTCGAGTTAATTATTTACAACTAGTGTTTGCCTTTTTGTAGGTTGTTTCTTGTCCTTGTGCATTGGGTCTTGCCACACCAACAGCAATCCTAGTTGGCACCCTCCACTTGGTACTTTATTTATGCTTCCTGCATTTAGTAAACTTACTTAAGTTTTATGTGAACAGTAAACACATACATTAAATGTATCACATTACTCTTATGGTGAAAAACCTGTTCATTGCTCAAATATTGAATCATTTTATCCAATGCTACAAATTTCCAATTTCCGTTTCGTTGAAAAATTGATTGGCATCAAGTAATATTTTCTCATTTCATTTTCCATTAAGCTTATTGTTTATTTCTTTCATTTTTTTTAGTTCTTTTTTACTTTATAACATTCTTGATTGTCCGTGGTTCTATAAATATATATTTTCCAATGCAAAAGAATCACAGCTACTGCAATTATAAAGTACGTAGCTGTCTTACAATCAGGCCATAAGTTCTACACATGAATTTATTTTATAAAAATATACCGTATTACTCCCGGCATCCTGGTTTGATGTTTTTAGTATCTCTATCCCTTTTTTTTACTATTTCACACAATAGGCATAAACCGTCTCTGCAAATGACCAGGGGCAAGAAAAGGACTTCTTATCCGAGGAGGGGATTGTGCTAGAACGCATTGGCCTGGTGTAAACTATATTGCTCTAGATAAGGTAAATTCAATATTCATAGACTAATATCTGTTTCTCTCCCCCTTCTATACATACTCAATCACAAACACACGCATATATATATATATATATATATATATATATATATATATATATATATATATATATATATATATATATATATATATATATATATATATATATATATATATATATATATATATATATATATATTTATATATATATATATATATATATATATATATATTATATATATAATATATATATATAATATATATATATATATATATATATATATATATTATATATATATATGCTTTTGAGTTTGCTTAAGGCGCAACAAAAGGAATTAGGGTTTGCAACCCTTGGTTGACTTTCAGTCAACCAACAATAATAAAAAATGAATAATTATTAAAAAATAAATGTTGACCCAAGGTCAACTTAAATAATTATAAAAAAATAATAATAAAAATAAGGAAATAATAACTAAATAATAAGGATGAATAACAATTATAATAGTTAACTAGTAATTAGATAACAATAATAATATGTTGACCTCAATCAACCTCAACAAATAAAACCCCAACGAACCTCCAAAAGCTTAATGGTCTATGAAAAAAAGGAATTATATATATATATATATATATATATATATATATATATATATATATATATATATATATATATATATATATATTATATATATATATATATATATATATATTATATATATATATATATATATATATATAATATATATATATATATATATATATATATATATATATATATATGCTGCCGTGTATATGTGTCTGTTATAGGGTCAGGATACTTTGACATGAATGATAGTCCGAATCAATCTTACACCTATTTTATGAATTTAGTAGCATTGCATTTCTTAAAGAAATCACTGTTTGACATTTTGCAGTATATTCCATATATATCATAAGTAACAAACTATACATTAATCTTTGATGATTTATTGCTTCATCAAAATTTCTTCAGACTAAATAAATTTGTACTCTTCAAATATCAGAAACAACGACAATATGATCCATGTTCATTTTCATTTAAAATTTCTTAAAGTTGGAGTTTATGTTCAATATGCTAATTACTTATAATTTAGCAATTGGGATAGATTTATCCAAAATAGTTTTTTTCATAAGATTGGAGTTGTGTAGCATGCTTAACAATGACAATTGATAACATTCAGAATTTGAGAGAAGGAACATCAGTATTTAAGTCGGTGATCGCCTCGCCTCATGTTTGCCATTATTTATTCAATCTAAATAAGATCCTGTAGTACAGTGTAATTATATAGCAATATAGTGTATATAATAAATGAACGCAATTAACTATTAAAAACATAATCTGATTCTGAATTGCTCTTCCAACTTTGAAAATTGACTAACATTTATCTCATGAACAAAGAGGGAGATTTTCTAACACCCAATCTATTCAGACAGGAACCCTTACCAGAGGAAAACCAGTTGTTTCTGCCATAGGCTCTATTGAGTATGGAGAGTCGGAAATTCTTCAGATTGCGGCCGCAGTGGAGAAAACTGCATCTCATCCATAGCTAAGGCCATTACTAATAAAAGCTGAGTCATTTAAATTGGTCCTTCCTCTCACAAAAGGGCAGATAGTTGAACCAGGTTTTGGAACCTTGGCAGAAATAGATGGGCGTTTGGTAGCGGTCGGGTCTCTAGAATGGGTCGTGAACGTTTCAAGACTAAAATGAACCCATCTGGTTTGGTGAATCTTGAACTTGCTTTGATAAATCATTCATCGAGTACATCATCTTCAAAGTATTCTAAAACGGTTGTCTACGTTGGACGTGAAGGAGAAGGCATTATTGGCGCTATTGCCATATCTGACATTGTGCGTGAAGATGCTGAATCTACTGTAATTAGGTACTTTTCTTTATGTATACAACTCATTTTAGGCAAGTAATACTACTGCTTCTTCTTTCTGGTCACATGTGAAGTTGGTTCACTTTTTCAGAAACAGGGGCAGTGCATTTTTTTAGTAGCCTTTACTTTTCAAGCTCAAAACTAACAATACACCTTTTTCTTACCCATTTGTATAATTCCTGATAAAATTGTAAGAAAGAAAGCTGATAAAATTATTCGACTATATTGGAACCTCCCAATTGGTTGTTGGTTAATGATGTTCAAAATATGGTTATGAGTAACTACTCTTGGAGTTAATAAACTACTAATCATCCTACACTGGAAAGATTTTTATCAATAGTTTTTGTACCTACCCTCTTGTTATTGGTGCATGTGGTTTTTTCTGATTGCCCATTCCCATCGGAGAAAGTTATATAAAGTTTTATCGCATCATGCCGAGTTTACCATTCATATATCATTGTATTCATTTGCAGTAAGTTTATCTAGATATTTTAATCGAACTAGGCCACCTAGCAAATCTGTTTTACATATCTCCTTATTTATGACATGAATATTGTATTAAATGGTTTGTACTTACTACCATTATTTCCCTACAAGGTTAGGACTATTTCCTAAAGTTTGACCATTCAAATCTGCACTTTGACTTGGATTTAATACCACATTTATTTGAAGTGCTTACCAACATTGAGTATGTTCTGTTGTTTTCTAATGCTTAGTGGGTGCATTTTCTGTCTGATTTTCTTGCTTTATTGCAAGGCTCAAGGAGAAGGGGATTAAAACGGTCCTCTTATCAGGAGACAGGGAAGAGGCAGTTGCAACTATAGCAGAGACGGTTGGAATTGAAAACGATTTTGTCAAAGCATCCTTGTCTCCGCAGCAAAAATCTGCATTTATTTCATCTCTAAAAGCTGCTGGACATCGTGTTGCGATGGTATGATGAAAGCTATATACCCCCTACACACACAAAAACACTAAATAATTGGTCTTGAACATTCCATGCATCTCTTGCACTAAATAGTTGGATACTTTTATTTTTGAGGTTATGATATTTATGTTTGCTCTTCATTGAATAGCATACATTTCAATGGTCAATGGAGCAGATGCACCCTAAAACGCTTCTGTTATAAGCATCACACTGGATTTTAGTCTTTTAGAATGGATCTAGCAATGAATATTGAATGGAAACTGGTGTTTTACAAAGTTTTTTTTTCCTCCTTCTCAAAGGTAGGTGATGGGATCAATGATGCGCCCTCTTTGGCTGCAGCTGATGTTGGGATAGCTCTGCAGAATGAAGCTCAAGAGAATGCTGCCTCAGATGCAGCGTCCATCATACTTCTGGGCAACAAAATTTCACAGGTATGTCATTCTGATGTCTGGGATTCATTGTATTGCCTTCATATCATTCCGATGCTAAATGGGTGACAAGGTGGAATTTTGATTACCCAAAATTTTCGGCACTTGAGATGTGATCTCTGGCAACTCTAAATGTTTTCATATTATTTTGAGATTACGCCATGATACAAGTGATCTGCTTAAACATATGGCTTTCTTTCAATCTTGTTTCCTGGCTTTTCAATGGACAGGTTATTGATGCATTAGACCTAGCGCAAGCAACAATGGCAAAAGTTTACCAAAATTTGTCATGGGCTGTGGCCTACAATGTTGTTGCCATTCCCATTGCCGCTGGTGTGTTACTCCCCCAATTTGACTTTGCTATGACACCATCACTTTCAGGTGAGCAACACTGTACCGCTAATTTTATTTTCATATAACTGTTGTACTTGCTTCAATCATAACACATCATAACGCATTTCAAATGTATTTTCTTCATAAAAACTGGTTATTTTCTGTTTATTAGCTTGATCTTTTTTAATCACAGGAGGACTAATGGCTATGAGCTCCATCTTGGTGGTTAGCAACTCACTGCTTTTAAAGCTTCATGGGTCTCAGACCTCTGGAAATGGATCACTATAGTGACATCTTTTCAACCGTGTTAATTGTAGTTTTACAAAAAAAGCCAATAACAATCAATAAATATCATGATAGATCTTCTTTTATAACAATCAATAAATATCATGATAGATCTTCTTTTATAACAATCAATAAATATCATGATAGATCTTTTATAACTATCAATAATAAATATCATGATAGAAAGATAAATTAAGTTTCCCTCACAAAGAAAAGTTTGAAAAATATTATAAGTTGATAATAAATTTAATACTTATATTTGAACCACAAATTTATTACTTCTTTTATTTTTCTTAATTTTTGTGATATATTATTTAGAAACGAGTAGTGATGAGAATCTTGCAACCATTCAAACATGGATTTGTATAAATATAAAAGGGGATTGCTCATCGCTCCTTGCTATTTTTCTCAAATCCTACGGAAACTCGAAAATATCCTCATACAACTTGGATTTTGAAATTCGGATGCATTACACAAAATAACAAACAAAGTCCATCCGAAACTCATTCAATGAAAAAATTTACATGTCAGGATATTAATCTTCAAATACATCCTTTAGATTTTAAAATTGGGATGCACCATTTAACATAACAACACGACGTGTCTTTCCCTCCTAACATTTGAAATCAAAAGTCAAATAGAGAATCCACCAGAAGAATTCTTTGCATGGAAAGTTTTAAAAGTCTCTCAATTTTTACCTTTTCTCATTCAATATTTGTATTTTAATCAATTTTGATTATTCATTTCTCATCCTCACTTGCTTTTTCTGATCTTGATGCATGCAGTTTCTTCCTTTTTAGAAAGAAAAAAATTAAACTACATTATATTCATCTAATAGAAATGTTCTAACATTTTGTCCTACTTTATTTTGGCTTGAGTTTGGGGTATTGGAGGTTTATGTTGGTATGAAGTTTTCTGCGAAACTTGACTTAATACAAATTTCAAAGTCTGGATTTTCTTTATAGAGATCAAAATCGGATGTGTCATCACTAGTTTAAAGTCTGGATTTTATCTTTGATCTTTAAATCAGTTATGTTCCTTTAATTCGGTTTTGTTTTGAGCTATTTTTGATAATGATGTTGTGCTTCAATCATTTTGTTTTGGTTATATTGGTAGTTGTTTGTTTAATTTTGAAGTTATTTTAATTGTCATTATGATATGCCTTGTCTTATGTGATTATAGAAAAATAGCTGACAACAAATCAAGACACACACATGATCGGATGTCTCAACATGCATTAGTGTGTAGAGAGAGAGAGTCAAATATTCTTGTATAGTTGGACAATCATTTGGTGTTGTTGAGGGATCGTCATCCCATGGTCATGGATCTCTACTAGGGGTCGCAAATATGTTTTCCTTTTCCACCATGAATGCTCTTACAACGACTAACTATAACTTTTTAGATGACAACATAATTCCCCTTCTTACCTCACAAGTATACACTACACCTCCGCCAACATCTTCTCCTAACATAACAGTCACTCAACCATCATCACCAGCGACCCAACATACTCATTCATCTCAAACCACAAACCAAACAAGCTCACCCCATCAACAACCCCCTCGGCTCAACAACCTACACCCTCGAAGTCACATTTTCCCTCCCAAACAATGACCTCATCTACACAAACAACACCTCTCCACCTACTTAGGCACCTATTTTCCCTCATAGACCTCATTCATCTTAAATGAGAATTCAAGCTCAACATGGAATTAACAAACCCGTAATGTTTCAACCTACATACATTCACTCACCAATCTATCTCTCCTTTACCTATAAATCCTATTTGAAAATTATTGGAAAATGGTTATGAAAGACAAATATGATGCTCTTATTGAAAATAAAACGTGAGAATTAGTTTATTGTTCCTCTAATGCTAATGTTATTACGAGTTTATGGATTTTCAGGCAAAAGAAGAAATCAGATGGTTCTTTTGAGCGATACAAAGTTTTTCTAGAGGGTAATGGTGTTTATCAACAATCAGGTGTTGATTATGGTAAAACTTTCAGTTCTGTTTAAAATTCTGGTATTCAGATCTCAGATTATATCAGAAAGTATCTTTCCTGAATCTCCTAATATTCTAATATTAACAGAATATTCAAGATTTGTTAATAACAAAATAAATCTAAATGAACAACTGTAATTGACAAGATGTCAGATAAATTAGATAGGATATTGTGTCCAACATGTTCTTACTGCAAGTTTAGAACATTCTTTTTAACATGTTGCTGTCAAATTAGTTTTATCAAAATTAATGCCAATAATAAAAATAGAGAATTAACAATCTCCCCAATCTCCCCCTTTGACAAATTTTGACGAAAATAAATTTACAATCCTTGCACACACATAACCGCAATTCAGATTCCAAAAAGAAGTTTGAAAATAAATCAAACACACATAGACTATCAGAGACGAGTGCAAAAGAATAAAACATCAGAGTAGCAGTCTGTGGAATATGCAAATATAACAATATTGAGAAAAATAACTTCTCTTCCAGTCAAATTAAAATTGTGACATTATGTCTGACATCTCTTCAAGCCAGTCCAAATTAGAGCTAAACTTTCCTTCCAAAACTATTCAGAACACATCAGAGAATCAAAAGATTCTCCCCCTGTTTCCAGTGATTTCTGGTAAACAACCGCTAGTCTTCCAAACTATTGAATAATCTTTCTTACTGTTATTCAATCTCTCTGGTAACTCACAGGATCGACTAGATTGATCCTAGAACTCCTTGGATATTAAGGTTATTCTCACAATCGAACAATTATTCATGGTTGCTATTGTATAAGTGTTTGGCTTACTTCGATCTCTCTCTCTAAGAGTCTAAAAATGTGGTCAAAATGTATATGAAAACTAAGTTATACGAATAAATGCTAATTGTAATGCTGATTGTAGAGACATATAAAACTGCATGAAAAATGAAGTAAATGGTTTCGACTTACAAAACGTTTAACATAAAAGGTTTCTGGAATGTAGAAGTTTAAAATGTGAAGAAAGTGTTTAATGCAAGAAATCTGTAAATGATTTTAAGTAAAAGTATGCGCTTGAAGAACAATACTTGAAAGTAAAGGTATTGAAAATGTGACAGTTCTCTAAAATATAAAGTGCTAGAAATATAAAGAAAATAGTAAAACGTAAAACGTTGAGGAAAAGACTTCGAAATGAAAAGGTTGTAAATAAGAAAAACTTGCAAATGTTATTTGACAAAAAGAAAAGAGGAAAGTACTGGAAATGGTAAAAGGCTTTCATTAAGTTAGAAATACATGGTGCTATCTTACATACATTTCTCTTGCATTTGTTTCCCTTGCCATGTGGTAGTTTGAATGTTACTGAGTATTTTGTATAACAGATATGACACACCGAAATCCTAATACTAAGACTTCTATTTATACTAATTCGACCCTAACGGTCTCGCTACAGGATTATGCCACGTTTCGAACATGCAAGACAATGCTTCTTTCATCTTTCCACGTGTCCCCAAATGCTCCAACACATAACTTTCAAACTTTGAAAGTCCCGCTTCCATTTGAATTTTAAATGCTTTTGGTGTCTCTCTATTTCGAGCGTTCTTTCCACACACAACCTCGCTGTTGTTTCGAGACTCCTTTAACTATGTTCCCATAATTGCCGTTCGAAGCTTCACACTTTGACACCTTTATTCGAAACACTGCTTCTGTTACTTCGAAATATGGCGTTTAATTCCATTTCGATCAGAACGTTTATCTCTTTTGGCTTCTAAATAATATTATCGAAATCTTCAGCCAACAAATTGCCCCTTTAAAATATGTATTTTGATTCCTTTGAGAAATACCTATTTTAAACATCTACACAAGATTTCGATAGGATTTTCGAATCATCGTAACATTTAATGCATTTGACTCCAGTCACATCAATCATAGCACCTTTTGGGTTCCTTAACCGCCCAGAGTCACTTCACAGCGTGGTGCAGTTATAAGTAATGATTATTTTTAAATCACGCCTATTACCTATATCAACTTCACGCCACCTCTTCATCACACCAACCCATGATCTCCACGTATCACACCTTTACTCGGTGGATGCTTAATCTTCTCATTATAAAACATCAATTTAATCTTCCTTTTTCTTTTTTTTTACACTCTAAACCTTTCATACTCTGGATTTTTACTCTTCTTCTCTTATAAAACAATCCAAGCTTTCAAACAACAAAAATGTCTTCTTCCACCTCATCCCAACTCAAGAAAGTCTCCAAGAAGAAAGGAAAAACTACAGGAGCAACCATGGAGAGTAAAATCATCACCATTCAAGGCCAATCTGCTCTTGCTCCTCAAATGATTTCCAAAGAAAAAGAAATGATGTACGCATCACAGGTACTCATCCCTACCCATGTTGCTGGTAAGAGGTTAGCCTTAAATGGCCCTCTTACAGTTTTTGAAATATTAAAGGACACCAGGACAATTTTTCCCGTCTGTTATAGCTTCAAACCCTTATTCAACAAAATGGATGCCCCTAGGGCAGTAGAATCTCTTAGTTCGAATACCGTAGAAACCCCAACTGTTCCTCCCAAGGACCCATTTGTTTTGGATTATGTAAAAAGCAATTTTAAGCCATTTCGATCTTGCCCTACTTCTGATATTGCTTATCAAAATTGGTTCACGAAAGTAGAAGCCAAGAAATCCCAGCAATGGGAAGAATTAGGCATTTATAACCTCATTAAGCTATCGAAACCTGGATTCACCTATAGCCATCCTCTGCTGTTTGCGTCCCTTTATTTCTGGGATAGTACTTACAACACTTTCCATCTCCCAGGTGGAATGATTACCCCAACCTTCTTCGATATAGCGGCCATTACTGGGCTGTCGCCAGTGGGAGAAACTTATGTTCCTGACAATGAAGAGCACTCAAGCATAATTGACTTCGAAGTCAAGTTAGCCAGCTTTTCCAAATTTATCAGCCATTATCATGCTGAAGGGGACAATGTGTCTGACATAGAGCACATTGCTTTCTTAACCCTGTGGCTGTCT